ACGTTTAATATGATTCGGCTTAAAATCCTGTTTAATGTCAGTGCAGAACAAGTTCCTCGTTGCAAATAATGCCGGAGACGCATCGGGAATGACTGTGTGTCCTCCTCCTCCACAGGCCACGTGAGGTTGGTTGTCGTCTGCAGCAGTGCATACAGTTATGCCGTCATGTTTCCGTTTCCGTTGACCGTTTCCGAATTTCGTATCTTTAGGAAGTAGATCCTGCATGTTTGATGGCGAATATGAACACATTTATCTCGCTAGTTTTCAAGACAGTTATGACAGGTTCGTACGGACTGTGTAACCTGAAAATATTCGATTACATAATTAAAGAGTGCCTTCACGGAGTTCAGAGAGCTCGGACGGAAAACCTGTGTATCCAAATTGCTTCAAGTTGAAGTGAGTGATTGAGTATTGTTTTACGCCGCTTTTAACAACAATACAGCAATTTCGCTGAGGGGAAAACAATACATGGACACTTTGTACCCATCTGAGATTCAACCCCGGGACTTCGTATTGACGCCTAATTGACTGGTTACCCCACCACCCGTTCACGCTGGAATACCCCCTACTGATCAAAGGGATGGCCGGTCACCAGAATCTGAAGTCAATCAACAGCAACACGTGATGTCCAGCATCCTTTTGCATCACTATTGGTATCAATTTATTAAATTGGAAAAGTAGGATCATACATTGAAATGTGGTACATGACAACTTTAAAGTGGTGTGAAATGTTGGTTCATATTTTATACACTAAAGGTGGTGAGGTGAGGGGAAATGGGGTTTAACGTCGCGTCCAAGAATATTGCACTTAGTGACGTGCATGCACGTGTGTGTGTGTGTGCGTGTGCGTGTGCGTGTGCGTGTGCGTGTGCGTGTGTGTGCGTGCTTGTACTAGTCCGGACTAATGCCGATTTATAATGCTATCTCTGAGGTACGATGCCGGAGTAAAATGAATGCCCCAATCAGACACAGTATACTGACTCCGAGCCGACCAGTTCTTGTTTTAGCCCCTTTATGCCGAGCGCCAGACAGGGTAACAACAAGTACCATCTTTAAACGTCTTTTGGTATGACGCGGTCGGGGGTCGAACCCCGAACCTTCCGCTCCCCGGGCGGGAGTTCTACCACTACACCACGGAGGCGGTCTATACACTAAAGTGTTATTTAATCGAAGCAACGTTCCAAAATCATACAATGTGATTGACTTTATTTGATCCGTGTGACGCAATGCTTATGTAATTTGAAGTATTATCGCAATATTTTGATAAAGGAACAGGACAGGTCCAATGCGGTTAAACGTGAACACTGAATGTAGCAAAGTCGACTGGATCGTCTTATTCGACTCAATTCGCAAACACAACAAGCTGTTTCGCCCCACTTGGTGTTTTCGAGGGAAACACTCTTTTAGGTCTGCTGTTTCAACTTTCAAGGATAAAAGCCGTCACTTGTTAGGGAAAGTAAACGTGTGAGTCAGTGTGTGAAGCGCACGAACACACGGTCCACTCGCCTGTGTATTGTGTATAAAGTGTATAACTGCAGTATGCGTGATCATGACCCAAATGACTAACACCGACTGAACCAGAGCCCTCAGCTGTGGTCTAATTGTTGTTATTGTGAATCAGTCTGAATGCTTTATTTAAGAATTGACTTTGTGTGAGTTCATTGGAGTATGACAAATGAAAGTTACCCTCGGTCTTTTCAACTGCCGTCCTTCGTCTGGCAGTTAATGGAAGACCTCGGTATTCTGAAAATGATAATGCCCTGAAAAATAGCGTTACCCTTACAGTAACACCTTTTGGAAGAAGCTTGGAAAAAGTACAGATCTTGTTTTAAAACTGATCAAACTGGCTTGGAAAACATTTCACTTGAACCATTATAGTTTAATCATAAGTTCAATAACAAACGACCTTTTGTTAATAATTGGTTCAATAGGGGTGTAATAAGAAACTCTAAAGCCTTAATGTCTTTTGAAGAATTTAGGAAGAAATATAATGTTACCTACTTAGATTTTGAAAATGTTAATAGAATATTTCGTGAGCCTTGATCGTGAATGTTAATGATACTGTCCACGAAAGCCAGACCACCGGAATTAATAGGGTGTGGGTAAATTTAATTACACCCTCAAAAGGATGCAGACTTTTTTACGACATACTTTCGAAAGCACAAACTGTACCAGCAGTATGTGAAAAATGGTAAAACGTTACCGATATTTCACAACCTTGGAAAATAGTTGCTATGTTAGTGCTTGTCATTCTGATACCGCCGCTCGGTAAACATGATCAAATCCTACGTGTTGGAAAACGAAACGAAACAACAAACTGTCTGGGATCTCGATGGTGAACTTCGCTCAAGGAAGATAATCCGCTACAAATGCCGATGTAAGGTATTGTACCTAGAATACAGTTGAAGTATACACTGATGAAATTAAACCACGCCCGGAAAATTTGCAATAGCCTATATGACTTGAATATGAAGTTGTAAATTAACGCAACATAGATGGTACGTAAAGGATAACTATACATAACATTTTATTTAAAGAAAATAATTATTAGATAAGGGAAGAAATTCACAGGGATAAAAAAATCATGTGTTAGAGCTTAAGTGTGAACACAATGGTAGATGGTTCAATAGCTTTTATAATGCCCTATATTTACATGAGAGGGAAAAAGCTAGTGATCCCGTTGCTACAGGACATGTCTTTTTCTAAGGATTGTGCTTGACTAGTGGTGAGGTGATGTGAAATGGGGTTTAACTTCGCGTCCAAGATTATTGCACTTATATAGCGACGTGCATGTACGTGTGTGTGTTTGTCTGGCTGCTGGTACTAGTCCGGACTGAAGCCGATTTATAGTGCTAGCTCACTGAGATACCATGCCGCAGTTTAACATGAATACCCCACTCAGACACAGTATACTGACTCCGAGCCGACCAGTCCTTGTTTTAGCCCCTTAATGCCGAGCTCCAGACAGGGTAACAACAAGTACCATCTTTTAACGTATTTTGGTGTGAATCGGGCGGACGCTCTACCATTAGACCACGGAGGCGAAATATAATGCTGCAAAACATGATTCTGAAAGTATATGTACTCACTACCCCTACCCCCTGAGTACTCGAGTAACGTTTTTCTCCTGGGGTACCGGCATACTCGGCAATTATTTTGAATACACGAGGAAAAAAAATATAATTGCTTTTTTGAGGCAATTTGAGTCTTCCGGTCGTCTGTCAATTTAACATTTGACATTTATGTACTACATGGGTAAAGCTATCTATAACTTTGAAAAAAATAAAAATATTTGAATCATTCATGTGAAATGGAATAATCAAACCCTGAAAGAAAATGTATACAAATGTGTCATGTGCATCTATATCATTTTAAGTGAGTGAGTGAGTGAGTTGGGTTTAACGCCGCTTTTAACAGTATTCCAGTTATATCACGACGTGTCAGCTTAATATGGGAGGAAAACCCGAAGTGATGCAGGTCTCAGACGTTTACCACTTCGGTGAAACCCACGAGCACGGGTATGGTGCTGACAAACCTAGATACATAATCGGGGCGAACCGGGATTCGAACACACAATCATAGGTGTCTGGCGAGCCCAAGGGACACAACTCTGCACAGCGATATATCATTTTAAGGTGAAGGGGGGCATGGATGACCCATTCGACCAAGGCGCTACAAGTCTCTATGCAGAGTTCCATTCATTGCCTGATACATATAATCGTTGCTTTGAATCCTAGATCCGCGTTGATTGTGTTTCTGCTTTATCAGCATCATACCAATGTTCTTGGGTTCGTGGGTTCAAATATATAGATGACTCTAGTTCTTTCAACAATGCCGAGAGAAATGAGTATCTTCATTTCACCTTTCCACTAGAGTTGGAAATATAGAAACTAGGGCTGGGACAAGTCCAAATGTACTACCCGGATATTAACCCCCCTATTATCCCGCGATATGCCAAGGAGAGGCACGGGCCACCGAGCCGTGGATGCCCGTGCCTAAAATAAAAACAGAAGATGAGATTGGGTTAAATGGCCGAGGGTGTGCAGGTACTAGTGGGCTACTTAGCTGCTAATTGTGTATACCAAAATGCTACCGTTGCCATGGCCACGCGCGTGGCCAACGGCGATTGCAGCTAGCGCTGCTGGCCTGAGACTGCTTCCGCTGTCCGGCCCCCACGGTAGCATATTTAACCGCTACCATTGCTTGGCAACTCCCACGCTGCCAAAAGCAGCTCCACGCTGCTGGCCTAAGTCAGACTACCGCTGCCCGGCCCCAGGTAGCCGGCCAAAGCAGATCCCACTGCCCGGCCCCATTAGCAAAACCATTGTGCGGCTCCCACGCCGCGGACCCAACTGTCAGCTACCGCTTGACAAGACGACTTCCGCCGCCGGGCCCATATACGTGGCAATTGTTTGCCCCAACGTATGTTATTTTACGATTCCCCGGCTGAAAAGTCGGGAAAGACAAGGTTCCCACTGAGAAGCAGGTAACCCCGGAAAGGTTCCCGCTGAAAAGCAGGTAGCCTTAAGCACGAGTATTAATTTGGAAGCAAGTTAATTTGTTACTAGCAGTGTAGCCCACAAGAACCCCGCCACAAAGCACCAGAGTGCTACCCCACACCCACGGCCACGCGATACGCGGAGATAGCATTGTTGCCCGGCTTGCCTATGTACTGAAAGGAAACACAAACCTGTGGAGATAACAAGCGCCAGGGCATGCAATAAATTGTCCGTAAACACACACAGTCCTTTGTCACTGAGGTGGACGCCCTCCCAGGCGTACCATGTCTTGTCTGATGCCAGGATCTGGGGATGTGGCACCATTGTACCGCCGAGCTCTTTGACTCGGTTGGCCAGTCGACGGTTGATATTCTTCCGCATCCCCTCGATCTTTAGTGGGTCCCTGGCATCGTGCCAGTAGCGCCTGTGCAGCATTGAGGATACGATGATCTTGGTGTCAGGAAGCTGGGGTTGTATTTCCGAAGGATTGATGCCACCATGTCAAGGTAGCGTCAAGTCCCGTGTAGTTCCATCCGTCACCCACTGGGGTGGCCATGCGCCGTTAAACCATTTGCCCTGCATGTAGGCCCCGAAGCTGGCGCCACCCGCTGCGTCTGAAAACAGCTGGAGGAAATCGCTGTCCACCCATAGTTGGTCCTGAAACACTGAAATGCCTTTATAACTCGTACGAAATGTTAACCACATTTGTAGGTCTTCCTTGACCCAGCTGGTAATCCTAATGTGGTGATATGGTTGCTTACCTTTGCTAAGCAGATCGGTTAGCCTGCGGCTGAATGCCCTTGCCATTGGTATAGCCCTGCACATAAAGTTAAGCTTGCCTATGAGGGACTGAAGGGCCCTTTTTGTGACCTTGTTGTTACCTGTTGACAGGATGTCTTGGATTTCCCTTGTTGCCTCCTTGATCTTGGACTCTGGGATTCTGATCTGCATTGCAATGGTGTCGATTTCCAGCCCTAGGAATGTCAGTTTGGTTGTGGGGCCCACCGTCTTGTCGTGCGCAGTAGGAACCCCAAGCTGTTCTAGTGTATTCAGGCATCCGTTGAGGTTGTCTGAGCAGTGGCTGGTGCCTGCTGTGCCCCCCGTTAGGAAGTCATCCAGGTAATGCATGATCGGACACGTTGGGAGATGCGATTGCATGCACCATTGCAAGAAGGTACTAAACGTTTCAAATATGGCGCAAGATATGGAGCAGCCAAATGGTAGGCATTTATCGAACTAGAACTCACCTTCGAATCTGATGCCTAGCAGCTCGAAATCGGATGGGTGGACTGGTATAATTCTAAAGGCCGACTGAATGTCGCCAAGGTCGACTTCGTTTTGTAGTGTTGTTTCACGTAGCCTGCCGTGTCTTGGTGCGTGGCTGATCGCAAGTTTCGTGACAGGCGACCCGTGCGGCTTCCCTGGAACTCGAGCTTAAAGCCAGAGCTAAAACCTACCCATAAATAGTTTGCATCTCTGTAATTGACCCTAGCATATTGGCGTAACCAGGGTGCCATTTCATTGAGATCCACGGGGGAAGGGGCCATTGAATTTACCTGCCTTGACGGCTGGTTTTCTGTTAGGCAAAAGGCTGATTGGGCTTGTATGGGGTCGGTTGGACCCCATTCCCTCGAAAGCAGGTCCTAGAGCTATGGGAATGTTTGCCACACTTACCGCATTTGTGAGTGTACTTACAGTTGACCCTGCTACAGCCAAATTTATTGAAATCCCAGCATACCTGACTGGCGATGTCCCCCTGTACGCGTGTCATTGCGCCCCGTCCGCCTGATTCTGGTTGTAGTACCGGCTGTGTTACCATGGACTTCAGCCACAACTCCCCGTCGATGTTGTCCCAGCGTCGTGAGGGGTCCCTTGACATTCTGTGTCGGAATTGTTGGTCGTAGGTTGACCAGGCATCCCCCCGAATCGAAGTGCCGCCGTTCTTATGGTTTCCATGTAGGACAGCAACCCCTGGGTTGTGCGGACCTCGGAGTGCCTACTAACATATATACACATGAAAATGTGGAAAGCTGAAGTCCAGCTTGCCAGGGACAGGCGCTTTGGTTGCTGCTTTATTGGTTTAAAAATTACCTAACCTGTGGGATTCGTACGCCATGGTAATCGTACCGTCCTCGTGACTTCCCTCGGTGTCTGGTAGGATTGTGCCGAGGTCGACATACTCGCCACGCCAGATTTTTTCCCTCACCGTTTGTTTGACGTGCGCGTCTTTTCCGTCTGCATGGAAGGAAAGGGAATCCCCGTATCCTGCGATGTGATTGGCTGGCCAAGCCGCGTCACCGTCGGCCTCGCTAACCGGCATGCTGTTTAAAGCGGCGTTAAACGGCTCTCACTCTGTCGTGTCATTCAGTCTATATTTTCTACGAATGTTATCCGAACTATCATCATAACCTAGGCCATCTGCGTTACAGAAAAGAATGTGGTACCAGAGATACCACGCGAATCTAAAGTTGGTGTTTTCATATGGGATTAAGAGCTACACGTGCCTACAGTCCCATTCCGTTGTGCCCACAATAAATCATGCAATGACACGGTCTGTTGCTCAGAAAGGGATTCGCTACAGGACTGATTACATAACATTTATAGGCATAGTGAATTATACCCTTAGCCGTCTCGTAAAAGGCATACACATGTCTCGTGGTGGCAACGCCATTGTCTCTTCGGCTGTCCTTTGCTGCCATCATTATATGAATGTTTACATCTATAGCGTCAGCAGTAATTATCACCCATTCAACAAACACTCTTAAAGCGATTAGATACAGTGACACACGTGTGTACTTGGGGAAGGGCTGTTCGCGAATGACCGACTAACAAAGGCGGGATGATGCTTGCGCGGGATTATTCCCCGGGCACGGTGCCGAGTGGTGGCCCGGGGTGATTGAGTTACGGGGGGTGATTGGGTTACAGACGTAATTAGCCCATGGTTTGGATACGCGCGATAAAGTCATTTAGTAGTTAGTACTAAATGTAATTACCCGATCCCACGGTAGGTCTCAGGAGATGTCGTTAAACAAACTGGTCGTTCATACACTAAAGTTGAATTAAATTAAATCTTTATTCAACCATATGAAAAATGAGAAGGAATGGGTGCACAGTCAGAAAGAAATGCGAACATTAGTGACCGGTAGTGTAACCAAAGAGTTCCAGATAATTTCTTTTCATTACACAATATATCACGTGACTAACCACGGGTCCGGGTAGTCCTGTGGGTACCCGTGTCCTACTCAGTACTCACCCGTCCAGGGTACCCGAGTTATCCGTCGCAGCCCTAATAGAAACAACGATCGTGTTTTCTGTCTGGATCTGTCCACAGAAATCTAAAATGATGGCATTCGCTGTACCAAGCCTTATGTCATGAGGGGTGATTACCATTCATGAACTTCCTCTTTCACGTCCCCAAGACCCGTAAAGATCCGGGGAAGAATAGGTCTTCAGCAACCCATTCTTGCCGTAAAAGGCAACGACTTTGCTTGTCGTAAGAGGCGACTAACGGGATCGGGTGGTCAGGCTCATTGACTTGGTTGATGCATGTCACCAATCCCAATTCCGTGGATCGATGCTCATGATCTCAATCACTGGATTGTCTGGTCCATACTCGATTATTTTACAGACCGCCGTTATATAGCTGGAATATTGCTGAGTGCAGCGTTAAACAACAAACAACAAATAAACCAACAAAACTGATTTGGTGTTGCTAGGTGCAGGTATGGATGCGTCCGTAAATCCAGAGTTACTTTCATCAAACTTACCACCTGTTCAATCAACCGGCATGCACTTTACTTTATATACCGAGGCGCAGTGCGCGTTTATTGTTTTACCACAATTTACGGCCTTGCAGTAATTAACACCAAAATCCCTTGGCACCAAGGCTTGGCTATGTGGGTGTTTGTGAAGTGACGTCACTTGGCGACGGTTAACAAGTTGAAGCGTTGGTATGTTTGGCAAGATATTGTGTTTCATAAATGATATGAAGCGAAGGGTGCTGAATTATTACAAAGTGTAAAACTTTATGAGTGCTACCGAGCGTGACCCACGAGCACGGGTATGGTGCTGACAAACCTAGAAACATAATCGGGGCGACCCGGATTCGAACCCACAATCATAGTTTTCTGGCGTGTCCAAGGGACGCAACTCTGCACAGCAAATCGCTTCGCCTTAGACGACTGGGCCCCCCGTGCCCCCAGTATGCGCATGTGAATGTATGTGAATTTATAATGTGTATGATACTTTGATATGCTTGAAAAGGGCGTCTAACGGGATCGGGTTGTCAGGCTTGCTGACTTTGTTGTTACATACCATTGTATCCACAAATGTGTAAATCGATGCTCATGGTGTCAATCACTAGCTTGTCTGGTCCAGATTAGATCATTTATATACCGCCGTCATAGAGCTAGAATAGCCAGTGTGGCATTACACAACAAACAAACATATAGTGAAACTAACTATTTATGTTCCTTAAAATATATTTACACTGTGCACAACATTCCATATGTAAATCGTCATGTAGAGGGCGCACAAACTGTAACAAAATGAATGAAAAGAACAAAACCCGAAATCAATGTATACATGACTTACTTTCTTATTACAATTATATGTAAATTATGATCACAGAATTTCACAATTTTTATGAAATATTTTGATCCAAGAATTGACACAAAAACATTCAATAAACAAAATAAGCAACTTTAAACAAACTTCAATAACAACAGGAATATGAAACAAGCGGACTCGTGGACATTTTGCGCATGCAGCGTGTATCTCGTATTTTGGGTCGGTATTTCCACGTGCAGCTCCTCATTTTGTTACTCATGATTTGAACATGATTGGTAATATAATGGTCATCAATAAAATATGTTCACTACATTTACGACCCGTGAACATCCGGGGTAGAATAGGTCTTCAGAAAACATGCTTGTCGTAAGAGGCGACTTACGAGATCGGGTGGTCAGGCCCGCTGACATGGTTGATGCATGACATCGTTTCCCAATTGCGTGGATCGATGCTCACGTTATCAGTCACTGGATTGTCTGGTCCATACTCGATTATTTACAGACCGCCGGATTATTGCTGAGTGCGGCGTTAAACAAGGAATAAGCTACATTTACCGAATGCAATCAGACCTAACGCTTTGCAATTTTTCATACACATGTTTTTTATGATTTTCAATAATTTGACATTTTACAACATTTTCATCAAATGGAAACATAAATCCACAGTCGTGCACTGTTGATTCTTAGGCTACAAATATTTCTCAGGCATCGGCACGTCACACAATCCCTAACGTTTTTTTTGTCAATTATATGCATTGAGTGACGTCATGCCATTGTCCTGTCATTGTCATATATCATTGCTATCTCATAAAATCGTCAACTTGTGCAGTATATTCCACCCCCAACCCCTCGATTTTACACAAAAATACCATCGATTTCAATCACACAATACCTTTGATGTTCTATTTCAGTGGATTGAACTTGGAACCAACAGAGGCACTAACAAAACAAATTTTATGTGATTTTGAAATAAATTGAGATGCCAATGAACCACAAAGCCCACATCTATATTTTTCGCTACAAACAAATAGTTCGAGTACCTGAACCTTTTACATATTTTCTAGTAAATATTATTACTTATGTATTAGTGTAAACATAATTTAATAATTATTTCCATATCCCCAGACACCGGTTCAAAAATTGCATATTAGGCTTACATGTTTCAAATATCAGTAATGAGAAGATAAAAAAAACATTAAAAAATAACATTATTGAATGTGGTCTCAGAAAACGAAAAAGACCCAGTGACTGTTTTCAATGCAAGCAAACGCAATTTTCAAACTCAATCCAATCAATTTCCATAAGTATACTATTGTTCAGATGTCCGAATAAACACTTGATTTCTCTCTTAAGAATATTTGGATGACTACCATTTAACCATGTAAACATTGTTTAAGTCGCATCCAGAATACACGTCTATCTTCCTCCACGTCTGGCCACGTGATATAGGTAGTCGTCTGAAAGAGGGCATAGAGTGATGACGTCATGTTCCTGTCCTCAATGTTTTCAAGCAGCACCACCAACAGATACCCCTCATCCTTCTCCAGAGCTCGTTTCTGGATCAGAGCTAGTTCGAACTGACACCATGAACTCAGAATGAAAGAATTAGACAGCACCATGATGACATTTCGGCTATTATTCAAATTGGTTACAATGTTATCAACTATATATTCCCCAGGAATAAAGTCTCTCTCGTGGATACACAGCTTAAAGTTGGCTTCCTCTTCAATCCTTGGTATGATATTATTCCTTACCCATCTGGAATCAGCTTCACAATAAACCACAAAAGCATCATAGATGTATCTCTCTTCATCAACTTGCTTCCTCTTTTTGTATCTCAACATGTGGATATAATAGCGAATGCGCCAACGTAATCTATAGGCTATGGAGATAACTACTATTAACACTATTGAAACTAATGATAGACCATAGACTATGGGAAACAAATAAGGTGAGATCCGACACGTCTCTTCAGACACATTGGCATCAATCAGAAGCGTTGATTGGAGGTTCAATGGATATCCACATCGATATGACTCTGGGAAGTTAGTAAATTTACTTTTATCTGCCTTCACCCATGTAACAAACCAAAGACTAGCACAAGTACAGACAAAATCATTAAAAGCCAAATTCACTTTTGACAATTGCTCTCTGATTGGTATAGAAAATACAGCTTCACTGACGACCTGGATGGCATTTTCTGAGAGGTTCAGAGTTTTGAGTTTTGTCAAGCTATTGAACACACCAGGATTTAATGACACAATTCTGTTGCCATGAAGATCTATATATGTAAGTTGATGGAATGTAGATATTACGCTAGGAACGGCGTATAAATGACACCTTGGCATTCTCAGAACCTCTAGTTTTTGAAGATCACAAAGAAGTGTGTCGAAAAAGCTATCGTTAAAGTTCAGCATTGTATTGTACGACAGGTCCAAGTATGTAAGTTCCGTGCATCCTCTCAGTGCCTTTGGGTGAACAACATCCCCAAAGTATATGAATTTAGCAATGCCTGCGAGGTAAAGTGTTTTAATAGCACTGTTATTAAATGCATATGCCTCCAGTCGTGCGTTGTTTCTGAAAACATTGTTTAATGAAAGAACACTAAGGTTTGGTAATGACGAAAAAGTATCTGTCTGAATCAAACTCAATGAATTACCAACTAGCATTAGGTATTTCAAGGCTGTAAGACAATTCAAACTACTATTGGACAAAGAGACTAAAACGTTGTGATAAATGTCTAAATGTTGAAGTTGTGAATGATTAGTATGAACACACAAATTTGGGATCTCTGTCAGGAAGTTTGAATGTAAATAAATATACTTCAGGTGTTGGGGTACAACAGCTATCGTCCAAGATATGAAGTTATTACCAAGACGTAGGACGCGTAATGATTTCATTCGAGAAAACACGGAAAAATTCAAATGTCTGATTTGACAAAATTCAATATTTAGGCTGTCTATATTCAGGCGTGTAAGCCCACGTACAAAATCCTCTGTGATATTGCGAACATTTATGTTATTTGACACGTCAAGTATTCGAATTTTACTCTGTAAACTGTAAAAGCATTCCTGAAGAACATCTTCAGGGACACTGCTGTATCTTAGGTCGAGAAGCTCCAGCCTTAACATGTCTTGGAACGCATCACCAGAAATGTATGTGATACTGTTGTTACGAAGAAATAGGATTTTCAACTGTGTGATGTTTCGAAATGTTGCTCTTGTTATCCTGCCAAGATAGTTTGATGTATAGTTCAGAAGCTGTATTGTAGGGTTTAAATTGGGTATCTTTGTGAGTCTCCTTCCCCTATTTGTGCAACTGACACAATAAAGAGAACACTTGCACAAGTTTTTGAAACACTCTGTAGTCACGTTTCCACATGGTACATTCACATCTTCTTCAACATTTGTTTGCGATATAGTAACGCCGAGTGTACAAACTGTTATCCAAAGAACGATCCTACAGCCATGTGTCATGATGTGTCCACAGATATCTGTAAATTGAGAAGAGTAATGTCGTATATATCATATCCAAACATTTATCCTGTGAGTGATGTTTAGTTTAACTTCGCTTTAAATACTATTTTAGTTTTGTCAGTGGGTGAAAAAAATATTATAAGTTAACATCACACAGGCAATATCTCAGTCATATGGCGACGCTTTTAGTTCTCACGGTGTGCCTCTATGTGGGGAATTCCTGATACAGCATAGAATCGTAACGACCACCGGACCATTACAAACACACATCGAGTTGCTGCACCAAGATAATTTGGTTCATCCTTGTTCCTACATTTATCAACTAATAGTTTGAACTAGTAAATAACGTATTTATAAAATAATCTAAAAAATCTGAAACCTTGTGTCAGTGTCAATTAACGAAGGAACGCGTAACGTAATTTTGGTAAGACGAGCATTCTAGTAAACGTCGTAACGACACTGCTCTACGATGAAATGGGGATACATAAGACGGTGAGCATTATGTCCATAAAAGTGACACATACGCAACAATGGCGGAATATAGAAAATGATATACGATGACAAGTTTACAACGTCTGTACTGTCGGCGATACAACTGTCCGTTGATGGAAACGAACAGATAATGCGGAAACAGAAACATTATATATCATATAGTATTCAAATATATTCTGAAAAAAAGCAAACGAAACGTATAACATATCTGGAAATATGTCTGTTAGGGGACAATGAACAGTGTTTTCTAATAAACCCTTAAATATTATTTTATATGAATGGTTTTTTTCTTTCAGCTAAACATATAAGCAGAATAAATACTTACTGGTCACATATTGTTCACTGAGGCCTCAGTATGTATGTTGAACATATATTTCTCAAGAAGAGACTACTTATGGTTGAGGAAATGTTTTTGTCGCTTTACTTAAACCAGCTTGAGGAAGATTTCGTTGCAGTGAACTTTCGGTTTCAGTTTTGAAAGCTGTTGAAATATAGGCAATTTAATTGTATTAAACAAAACACATGTACGACCGTCTTCTGCAATTACCTTAACCTTAAATGTGTTATTCGGTTCTAGTTTAGCATTCAACGAGTTAATTCAGGTTGTGACATTTTATAACATCATTACCACTTGCAATGTGTAAACGATGAGAGCGAAATTACAGTAGTTCCACATCCAATTCAATAGTTAACAATTGTTCTTCCCATGTACGCAGTTATGAAAAGCACTCGTGATCTGCTGTATTTGCCAGAGTGAAAGCGGCACTGCAGTGTACTATGTCACATATAATTGCCAGAGTGAAAGCGGCACTGCAGTGTACTATGTCACATATAATTGCCAGAGTGAAATCGGCACTGCAGTGTACTATGTCACATATAATTGCCAGAGTGAAAGCGGCACTGCAGTGTACTATGTCACATATAATTGCCAGAGTGAAAGCGGCACTGCAGTGTACTATGTCACATATAATTGCCAGAGTGAAAGCGGCACTGCAGTGTACTATGTCACATATAATTGCCAGAGTGAAAGCGGCACTGCAGTGTATTATGTCACATATAATTGCCAGAGTGAAAGCGGCACTGCAGTGTACTATGTCACATATAATTGCCAGAGTGAAAGCGGCACTGCAGTGTACTATGTCACATATAATTGCCAGAGTGAAAGCGGCACTGCAGTGTACTATGTCACATATAATTGCCAGAGTGAAAGCGGCACTGCAGTGTACTATGTCACATATAATTGCCAGAGTGAAAGCGGCACTGCAGTGTACTATGTCACATATAATTGCGACCCAGCATCGTATACAATATTTATCCTTGGACGTGGAATGGATCGAGTGGTCAGACTTGGCGACTTGGCTGACCGCGCGTCATCGTACCCCGATGCCGCCATCATAACACTGGAATTGTGATGAGTGCGGCAACACACAACCAAACAGGCCTTGTCTCAGTAAATACACTACTGTTCTGTGTTGTCCTTTCTGTATCTTTTGTCATCATCCTATTTTAAGAGTACTATTTTTTACATATTTCTAATACTATTTGATTTTCGATGCCATAATGTAGTTAAGTATGAGTGTGATATGTAACATGGCTTCAGGTCAAACATTCACCATTACATATGACTGTGATAGATTACATGATGTGTGATGATCAACATCCGCGGTAACATAATAGTTTGAAATTAGGATTTTGTTAATAATGTGTTTAGTTCAGGAAATTTGATAATGAATTACTTTCCCTTTCGTGTTTATGGGTAAAAAATCCGATACAATTTCATCTTATTTGCACCTATGACTAAACACCTATCTGTAACTGGCTTCGTTCACCATAGCTCACAGGGCGTTAACTTCGTGATTAAATTGCTTGTCCCGCCAGGGGTGTGGGGTAGCCAAGTGGTTAAAGCGTTGGCTCGTCACGACGAAGACCCGTGTTCGGATCCCCAAATGGGTACAATGTGTTAAGGCCCATTTTCCGATGTCCCCGCCGTGATATTGATGGAATATTGCTAAAAGCGGCGGAAAACCATACTCACTCATTCACTCACTCACTCGATTCCCGACATGGGTACATTATAAGGCCCATTTGAGTCTCCACCGTGATATTGCTAATATTGCTAAAAGTGGCGTAAAACAATACCCATTCAATCATAATTCACGCTGTTGTTTATGTTTAAACTAATTATATAATTTCAAAATAAGTTAGGACGGGGTTTGTAGCCAACAAAAGAAAGATAATATGTAACTATTGACTGATGAGCGTTGACTTATTGTCATCTTAAAAGACGTAGAAATCATGATGGATTTAGTACAATGTATTGAGATGAAGTACAAACACAAAGACATACATGCATGTTTTATACCAAAAGCTAAAACCTTACAGCTGAGATACGTGATCATACACAAGTTAACAACACTAATAGTAAATTCAAATCAGCACTTATATACAACTGGCTCGATTAAAATACACAGAGGGTATTAAATGTACACGGGTATCAATTGCCACGACGCCAGTCTAACAGATTAACGGACATCGGCTCAAACCACCCGTTATGTTGACAGCTGACACCGGCTTTTGATCCTGTCGTTCTGAAGTTCCCGAATTTCTCACAGAGGAAATGCATCATGAGCGACATATAAGTGAGATGCGTCCAAGCGCGGACGTCGGAGTAGGGAACATCGGCCCGGGTAGTCTTTCAGCCCAAGCGGCGAGCCAAGACTGGTATTTGTGTCTCTCAACAAACTTTAATCCGATGCTAGGGATAAGCATTAAAACGAAGATGATAAAAGGACCACCGTGATAAGGTGAAGTGTTCGCACTTAAAGAGTGTGAGTGAGTGAGTTGGGTTTAACGCCGCTTTTAACAGTATTCCAGTTATATCACGGCGTGTCAGCTTAATGTGGGAGGAAAGCCCGAAGTGATGCAGGTCTCAGACGTTTACCACTTCGGTGAAACCCACGAGCACGGGTATGGTGCTGACAAACCTAGAAACATAATTGGGGCGAACCGGGATTCGAACCCACAATCATAGGTTTCTGGCGTGCCCAAGGGACGCAACTCTGCACAGCGAATCGCGGCGCCTTAGACGACTGGGCCACCCGTGCCCCCTCGCACTTAAAGAAGACATTCTATATAGAATAAATGACCAAGTGATAATTTAGTTACCACCTAAAAGGTAAATATAAGATAGCTACGCGACTAATCGCAAAGAACAATGAAGAACGAAACGTGGTTTATTTCACGATAAACCATTGTTCTATAATGACGTCATTTCTGGAGATTCGAACATGCGAGGAAAGTGTCTTGTGAGTTTTTCCTATAGATGTAGCTGGACAGCGCAGATAAACGCAATGGCCACACGATCGCACCCAAAAGTTGGAGCGATATTACAATCCACATTGGGAGAAAAGGAGCAGCTTATCGACATGAAAATTGTGAGAATACCAAACTTAACCCCCCTGTACACAAAATGGAGTTGTCCGACATTGCCGAGGTCGGATTGTATTCGGGGAGTCATCATTATTTTAAAACATGTAAATATTTCTAAAGCGTGCACAATTTACTGACATCCTTAAAAAGGCTGTACATAGTGGTAATAATAATAATAATTGATGTGTAAAGTGCCTAATATCCATCGACAGTTCCTCACTGGCGCTGTGACAAAGTTAAAAAGTAATGTCTATGTACATATGCCAACAATCAGGAGATCTATAGAAAAGCTGAGGTGAAGAAGTGGGTTTTGAGGAGAGACTTAAACGTTTCCTTAGAAGCAGAATTTCTCAGATTCAAAGGCAAAGAGTTCCATAACTTTGGACTGCAAAAGGAGAAGGCACGGTCAGACATAGCAGAAGTAGACAGAGGCTGATACAGTAGAGTTCCACCAGAGGATTAGAGAGCACGCTCTGGAGAGTACAGGGATATAAGATCTTTGAGATAGTCTGGATAGTCGCTCTTGTTGAGGCAGTCGTGAGTGATGATACATATCTTATAGTTTATACGAAAGGAGACTGGAAGCCAATGTAGTGCTTTGAGGACAGGACTGATGTGATTGGATCTTGGAACTTTAGAGATGAATCTAGCTGCAGAGTTCTGAATGCGTTGTAGCTTTGATATGGCTTTCATGGGAAGATTAGCATACAATGCATTGCAGTAATCTAGTTTGGAGGTGACAAGACATTGCATCAACAATTTAACTGTTGGAGTATCAAGTAGATGGCGGACTTTACTGATGTTATAGATGCTATGGTAGCATGCTCTGCTGGTTAGTGAAATATAAGTGTCCATGGCCATTGTTGAATCAAAGGTGATTTCCAGATTACGGGCACTGGCAGTTGGGTACACAGTGGTATCACCAATATGAAGTAATACAGAGTCAGGGTGAAGCTTTCTGACTTTCTGTCGTGAACCAAGGATTAAAAACTCAGTCTTCTCTTCACTGAGTTTGGGATAATTGAAGCTCATCCAGGATGGTATGTCATCAATACAGCGCTCAAGGGCGGCGATGTTCAGAGACAGTTCGGAAGTTTTAAAGGAAATGTAGATCTGGTTATCTTCCACATAGAGGTGGAAGTTACGAGCAAGTTTCTGGATGATATCACCAATTGGCAGGATGTAAATTGTGAATAGCAGAGGTCCAAGGACTGAACCCTGTGGTAGACCATAGTGACTTTTGCATGTTGTAGAATGACGATCATGGATCTTAACAGACATGGTCTGGTCAGACAGGTAGGACTTGATCCACTGGAGAGCTGTTCCCCGAATGCCATTTGTGTGTTGAGTCTGTGTAATAAAATTGCGTGATCAATAGTATCAAAAGCAGATGAGAGGTCAAGGAGAACAAGAAGAGTGGTTTTCCGCTGCCCAAAAGATGTCATGATGTCGTTGTGGACCCAAACGAGTGCTGTCTCAGTACTGTGACTTGACTTGTATGCAGACTGGAATTTTTCACCGAGATTGTTTTGTTTCAGATGATGTTGTTGCTGCACAGCGACAATCTTTTCCAGGCATTTAGACACGAACGAGAGATTGGACGCAGGTCTAAAGATTTTGAAATTGTCGGGATCCAAACCAGGTTTTATGATGATGGGAGTGACATGAGCATGTTTCAGTTCACTTGAGAACTTGCCATGAGACAGAGACGTGTTGATAATGTCCCACATAGAAGGTGTCACGTGATCCATTATGGTCTTGAATAGCCAGGTAGGAACTGGGTCAAGTGAAGACATCTTGGATGGAGCATGCTTGATAATGTCCGATACGACTATCAAAGAAACGTGACTGAAGGAGGTTATTTCATTTCCAGAAAAAGAGTTGTCGTCAGGGCATAGACTAGATTCAGAAGATTCCTGGCGTTTCTCATTCAAAATAATCCTGATTTTCTGTAGCTTAAAAAATGATGTAAATT